ACTCCAAACCCCGAAGCGCAATAACCTACATTGCACCAGTCTAGGGGAAGCAATCAATGAATAGCCTACACGTTTGTATAACAATACTTCGATTAGTTCCCTTGAACCGTATTGTGGGATGGAAACGGCTTACTGAATGATAGAAAAGTTTTCTTGACAAACAACTGCGACTGTTGTTTAAAGCTACAAGTGTTTTTGGCATAAAATAAGTACATTTGTAGTCTACAGCTAGCCAGAACAATACCAGCATATTTCACCAACAATAGATTACCACTTCGAAAAAGAAGCAGGAGCAGTCAAAATCAGCGCACCCATAAACAACCAACCTTCAGCTGAAAATGTTATATCTTCATTGGAGGAGCCAACGAAAGTAGAGGTAAGAAAAAGGAGGGACTTAGATTCTGACCTGAATGAGAAGGGAGACTGCTGGACAGAGGTAAAACTACATGTATACCCAAGGCTAGGCCAGTCCATGTCTTAATGTTGTCCATCCATGTTACTATTTGTCCAACCCTGGCTCTCCTGCCACACATCCTTCCTTCAACCACTTCTTTCACAATGGTCTGGTGTCGTTTTAAGTGACCAAAGTGTAGTATTTTACTGCGTTCTATTTTGTTAAGCAGGGTTTGTCTCGTGTGCAGAATCTGACACACCTCATTGTTAGTAATGTTAGTATTTTTTCTTTTTGCTTTTCAGCTATTTATGGCCATTCTGCTGAAGCACCACATCTCAAACACAGCTATTTTGTTTTCTTCTTTCTACGTTAACACTTAGCAGTTACTCATCCAGCTGTACAAAATACCCCATCTGGTCACCCAGCCAGGAGAGTGACAGAAACCTACTTCTAGGGCCTGGCGCAGAACTGCGCCAGGTGACCGGAACGAATAATTTTCACGGGCGCATTATTGCGCCAAGTGACCGCAAAGTGTTAAACTAAAGTCTAGTAGTCAGCACCATATACGAATACGAGGAGGATGTAGCACTCTAGTACCGGGTAACAAATGCTGATGCTGCTGATGATGATGATGATGATGATGATGACAACGACCATACCAACGTAAACGTATGGACTTACCTTTGACTCTGCCGTGGGCTGGGCTCCTGCGGCTCCCTCTGAAAAGGACTGTCATTCTGGTAGCGTGGGACGCCACCCCCGTTCCGGTCGCCCGACTGAGACCTATGAGCCGACAAATGGTGGGAGTTTAGCACTCGCGTCTGGCCGCGGCCTCTGTGACCTTGACTCGATTCCTGCGAGTGACCTCCTATCTCTGCACGGCCACCGTGTCGATTCGGATCTCTTCCCCTCTGCTGCTGCTGTTGATGCATATGTTCCTCTGCGTAAAGAGCCGCCTCCTCCTCTAAAGGATTCCCCCCTCCGCTCCGCGTAGGCGAGGGCCCGTAGATGTACATCCCGTTGTCCCCGCCCTCCTGCTGAGGCGGGAGGTTGAAGCTGGCCGTGAAATTATTGAGTAGCGACTGTCGTTGCTGTTCGTAGTAGCTGCCCCCG